CTTGTTACTCTTAACATCTCTCGCTAGCTGCAGCTCCAGGTGCGATTTGGCCCTCCTAATTTCATTCCTACATGCCCGAGCAATATTTTTATACTCTTCCCTGGTCATATGACCAACCTTCCACTTCTTGTAAGCTTCTTTTTTATGCTGTAGCTCACGAAAGCTCATGCTCAAATAAATTGGTTAGTCAACTCTATGCTCAGTGATTTACTCTGCCTCCCCTCCTTTTCTAACCCAAATTAAGCCATTTTGCAGCCATGTATTTTTGCAGAGCGAAGGACTGGGGCTCAGGCCTGTTTCAAATCCAGGCCGATTTCACCTAGCATGCAGCAAAGTATGCTCAGCATTTGAGCTGCTCTGCACAGAGCATGTAGATGGACCAAACCATATGTGCATGCTACAGGACATTCAAACAGAAACCAGCCTATTCAAGCATCAGTGCCGTCTGCTTGTGATAAGAGTGCCACCATCTCATTGAGGTTGTTGCCTACACTAGAAAGGGTTTCTTGGTATTGCTGTCTCACAAACCCTCCGAGGAATGATGCAGTTTATACTTCTGCTGGTATAGTTTATAGCAGTTTCCTGAAGGGAATAATCTATACAGGCACAAGGACCTGGTCTATCTACATTTACACTGGGGCTTTTGCTGCCAGAGCTATGGCAGTTGGGGGTGTGGTTTTTTCCTCTGCCCTCCTGACATTAGCTGACATTAGCGATCACTCTCCTGAAAATGTGTATGGTAATCAATTGGGCCTTTTCCAGCACAAATCCAGGTTTTCTCACCCCCCCCCCCCCACACACACACACAAACCAACTCTCCTGCTGGTAATAGCTTATCTAAAGTGACCACTCTCCTTACAATGTGTATGATAATAAAGGTGGGCCATTTCCAGCACAAATCCAGGGTTTAACAAGAATGTCGGGGGGGGGGGGGGGGGGGGGGTAGGAAAAAACAAGGGGAAATAGGTTACCTTGCATAATGACTTAGCCACTCCCAGTCTCTATTCAAGCCTAAGTTAATTGTATCCAATTTGCAAATGAATTCCAATTCAACAGTTTCTTGCTGGAGTCTGGATTTGAAGTTTTTTTGTTTTAATATTGCGACCTTTAGGTCTGAGATCGAGTGACCAGAGAGATTGAAGTGTTCTCCGACTGGTTTATGAATGTTATAATTCTTGACATCTGATTTGTGTCCATTCGTCCCCTAATGCCCCTACTCTACTTGCGCTATATTGATGACATCTTCATCATCTGGACCCATGGAAAAGAAGCCCTTGAGGAATTCCACCATGATTTCAACAATTTCCATGCCACCATCAACCTCAGCCTGGTCCAGTCAACACAAGAGATCCACTTCCTGGACACTACAGTGCTAATAAATGATGGTCACATAAACACCGCCCTATACCGGAAACCTACTGACCGCTATTCCTACCTACATGCCTCCAGCTTTCACCCTGACCACACCACACGATCCATCGTCTACAGCCAAGCTCCGCGATACAACCGCATTTGCTCCAACCCCTCAGACAGAGACAAACACCTACAAGATCTCTATCAAGCATTCTTACAACTACAATACAGATTGACAGAGCCAGAGGAAACAGATTGACAGAGCCAGAAGAGTACCCAGAAGTCACCTACTCCAGGACAGGCCTAACAAAGAAAATAACAGAACGCCACTAGCCGTCACCTTCAGCCCCCAACTAAAACCCCTCCAACGCATTATTAGGGATCTACAACCTATCCTGAAGGATGACCCAACACTCTCACAAATCTTGGGAGACAGGCCAGTCCTTGCCTACAGACAGCCCCCCAACCTGAAGCAAATACTCACCAGCAACCACATACCACACAACAGAACCACTAACCCAGGAACCTGTCCTTGCAACAAAGCCCATTGCCAACTGTGCCCTCATATCTATTCAGGGGACACCATCACAGGGCCTAATAACATCAGCCACACTATCAGAGGCTTGTTCACCTGCACATCCACCGATGTGATATATGCCAGCAATGCCCCTCTGCCATGTACATTGGTCAAACTGGACAGTCTCTACGTAAAAGAATAAATGGACACAAATCAGATGTCAAGAATTATAACATGCATAAACCAGTCGGAGAACACTTCAATCTCTCTGATCACTCAATCTCAGACCTAAAGGTCGCAATATTAAAACAAAAAAACTTCAAATCCAGACTCCAGCGAGAAACTGTTGAATTGGAATTCATTTGCAAATTGGATACAATTAACTTAGGCTTGAATAGAGACTGGGAGTGGCTAAGTCATTATGCAAGGTAACCTATTTCCCCTTGTTTTTTCCTACCCCTCCCCCCCAGACATTCTTGTTAAACCCTGGATTTGTGCTGGAAATGGCCCACCTTTATTATCATACACATTGTAAGGAGAGTGGTCACTTTAGATAAGCTATTACCAGCAGGAAAGTGGGGTGGGAGGAGGTATTTTTTCATGCTTTGTGTGTATATAAAAAGATCTTCTACACTTTCCACAGTATGCATCCGATGAAGTGAGCTGTAGCTCACGAAAGCTTATGCTCAAATAAATTGGTTAGTCTCTAAGGTGCCACAAGTACTCCTTTTCTTTTTGCGAATACAGACTAAGACGGCTGTTACTCTGAAACCTGTCACTAATGAAAACAGTTAATCTAACATAAGAACGGCCCTACTGGGTCAGACCAAAGGTCCATCGAGCCCAGTATCCTGCCTTCCAACAGCGGCCCTTGCCAGGTGCCCCAGAGGGAATGAACAGAACAGGGAATCATCAAGTGACCCATCCCCTGTCGCCCATTCCCAGCTTCTGGCAACAATTGCTGTTGTCAACAGTTGCTGCTGTGATTGCAGGGAGAACACCTGGGTTTTAAGTCCACCTCGCTGTGTGAGCTGAGCAAGGGAGCCAGGGTCTGCATGGTTTTGATTTTTAGGAGTTAGCAAAGTCCTCCACTGTTGCATGAGAAACACAGAGGTCAGAACAGGTATGATGCCTGGCCACTGTCTACAATAAGCTCCACTTTTGCTGCCTTCTTCCCAGACACTGACCCAAAGGAGTTGGGATGCATGTGGTTGATCATTTTTGCCCGTGGCCCAGAGCTTTGAAAATGCCTCCTGGCCACCGGTGTGGCCAGAGAAACTGAGCTAAGGAACCAGACGTGTGTCCCGTCACTTTATTTCATTTTTGTAAACACCCAAATGTGGTACAATAAATACAGTGCCTATAGTGTCAGCGGTAAACCGCATCGGTGTGTGAATGTGCAAAAGGTGCAAGCACCAGACCATGCAGGAGCCTTTTCAAAATAGTTATCACGGTGCCATGGGTGCTGCCCAGCTGTGCGGCATCTACCATGCCCTGGGAGGGATAGGATTCGGGGGGGGGATGGTACCCAGACTCTCAGGGGAAGGGAGTGCCATCTGCTGCTCTCAGGAAACCCCTCCAGCTTGCCCCAGACAATAGGCACAGCTACACTGCAATAGAAGACCTGCAGCATGGCCACGGCTGGCCCAGATTGGCTGATTCGGGCTCGGGAGGCTAAAAATTGCAGTGTGAGCTTGGACTGGAGCCTGGGCTCGGAGACCCCCACTGTGGTTCCAGTCAGGCCTATCGAGAGAAATTTGGGGCCCCAGCCCATCGTGTTCGCTGAGGCTCCATCCCCTCCCATTTCACCTCAGTTACAGATATTTTGGGGGTCCCCCTGAGCCCCTTTTTTCTCCCCTCATGTCATCCTTGATGCTAGTGGTATGATGTGGACTGTGGTTGGGCCTGGCAGCCCCGGTCATGGCTCGGGACCCCATGATGCTGGTGCTGCACAAACAGCACAAATAGTCCCTGCCCCAAAGAGCTTCCAGTCTAAGGCACAGCTGCTATATTTACATCAAAGAACACAGCTGGGGTTTAGATCAAGGGTAACATTTTCAAAAGCCCCTAAGTGACTTAGGAGCCTAGGGATGCATTTTAAAAAGTATTTAGGTGTCTAAAGGTGCAGACAGGGAACCTCGTGGGAGTTTCAGAAGCACCTAGGTGTCTCAACTCCACACCAATGGGAATTAGGCACTTTTGAACCTCCCCATAGCACCTCTGTGCGCCTTTCGGCTCGTAAGTACCTTTAAAAATCTGGCCTTCAAATCCCATTTTCAAAAGAGACTAAGGCACTTAGGAGCCTAAATCTCATGGACTTTACCTGAGACTTAGGCTGGGATTTTGAAATGTGAGTGGCGATTTTGGGTGCCTCGTTGTTGGGGCGGGGGGGGGGGGGGGGTGAAGGGGGAACTACAGCTTGTGATACCTTAAAGGTCCCTCCTTTTCATAAAGTGCTGAGCACCCTCCCTCAGAAAGTCAGGCCCCCTCAAATCAGACCCCTAAAATCACTAGACCCTTTTGAAAATCTTGCCTAAGTCACTTTTGAAAATGGGACTTGGACACCTGTCGCCTAAATGCTTTTGAAAATTTTACCCCAAGTCCCATAGCCTTTCAGTGAGATCTAGGCTCCGAAGACCCAGCATCTCAGACATATTTAGGTGCCCAACTCCCAGTGACATGCGTGGGAGTTAGGCACCTAAGCACCTTTGAGGCTCTGGACTTGAAAATGCATGTAAGTCCCTGAGGTACTTGTGAAAATTCAACCCCCTTGCAGTACTGGGAACCCAAACACAGCACCATCAACCGAAGTGAAAGGCAAAACAAAAGTGAACAGCCAAGGGGTGAAAAGTGACTTTGGGAATGACGTGCCAAAGCCACCCAGGGCTGTTGGGCACCCACTGGAAGTCAGTGGCACCTGGGGAGCGCATAGCCAGCTGTGCCTTGGAAGATCTCCCTCTTAGCTCTGAAAACTTCCTGCAGCTTTAACAGCCTGGGGGTTTGTTGGTAATGTGGCGGGCCAGTTGTTGCTTAAAAATGTCTGAGTAACACAGGGTTAACTCTGGCAGCTTCCTCGCCCCCGTGCAGGGGGGGGGGGGGGGCAATGATATGCGGGGCTGAGGACACACACCCGAGAGATCTCACACTAATCAAGGACTAATGATGCATGCCTGGGCAGCGGAGAGAGACAAACAGCATGGAAGCGTAGTCTGGGAAAGCTAAATGCAAGGTTATAATGGGGCTGGGTGTTGGGAGAGCTGGTTAGTTTCCTGCGTCAGACTTCAGACAATAAACACTTGGGAGTAAAACACTCTTTGTGAAATACATTTGTCCTTGTCCCACTCCCCAGCTTGCAGGGTCCCATCACTGCCTAGGGGGAGCTCTGGCAGGATGCAGAGTGAAGTCTTTTGACCCTGGGCATGGTATTTCTAGACACCTGGGTCCTGGCTGCTTCGGTGCCCTTTGCAAACAGAGACACTTCCCTTGAAAGGTGCCAGGAATTAACAAAGCTAACGCTGCTGCTCTGCTTTCCCCACTGGGTCCCTGTTCTCCCTTCTCCCTTCCAGGCTAACCTGGAGCTGGTCGGAGCATCACTTTTCCAGCTGCCAGGACCTGGGCATTTTCTGCCTCTTGGGAACAAAATGCTGGAGCTGGTTCCGCCAAGGATGCAGGAGGCAGAACGGAACCCAGTGCCTTCTTCAAGAGCTGGATCAGCTCTTTGGGGCTCACAGGAACTCCTGCTTCCTTGGCCAGCGCTGCGCTACGGCGAAATGACTCCCTCTCCTGTAGCTGTAGCAGGTGTGCAGGTGAAAAAACTTGTTTCCATCCATAAAGCCAACTGGGATCAGTCCGAGTGAGACCAACAGCCACTCTGGTTTTAGGTCCACAGGAGTACGTCTACATTGCGATAAAAACCCTGCAGCTGGTCTGGGTCAGCGGGCTCAGGCTGCGGAACTATCCAATTGCCTTGTAGTTGAGGGATTGCAAGACCACAAGGGGCGGTTAGATCATGTGGTTTGACCTCCTGTCTCACAGGCCAGAGAACACCTGGACTGAGCCCAAGAACGCATATGCTCCGTTTCTAACTGCTAACAGCACTCACATAAAAACCTGTGTAAGCCAAGTCCTCCATTTAAGCCGGCCTAACCTGAGAAGCCCCCCCCACACACACACACACAATGTTTAAGCATCCATTTAAGCTGGACCTATTTACAAAGCCCTGGCGGCAAGCGCCTTTCCCAAACCCGGTCGCTTCGGTTTCTCCTTTAAAGGAACACTGGTGGGAAGAAGTAACAGAGCTATGCAGCGTGACTGCCCCTATTAGCGCTGGGGTCTGCTGCTGTGCAGCCTCCCGCTGGCATCACCGCTGTGTGTCCCTGGGGCTGTTCCAGCTGTGATCCAGCCTAGGGGAGAAAAGAGAAGAAATAAAGGCACTGATGTGGCCATTGGCCCAGATTTTGTCCTCTGCTTCAGCCCCTGGGCCAGGGGAGAATTCCCCCCAAGGTAGGCACAGTGTACCCTAGTGACCCCGCGTAGGCAGCTGGGATGGGCCAGGGCGCTCTGTGTTACACCAAGGGGGTGTTCTGGCTCTTGGAGTGGCACAGAATGCAGCAGGGGCAGTGGTGGGGTAAAGTCATGCCAGGTCTCTTGGGCCTGCAACACAAAATGGGACCCGGACCCGAGATGAGAGGTTGGCTCAAAAGGGGAACAGGGACGACTTTGCTTTGCAATCTCTGGCCTTGTCTGCACCAACGTGGTTTTGCACGGGGGTGATGTACACCAGTGCAAGTTGCCGGCGCAGGCATCAACACGACTGGTCTGAACTGGGGCAGCTACACCAGCGCAAGCCCGCTCCCGGTGTAGCACTGGGAGCCAGGACACCTGGGTTCTATTCCTAACTCCCTTCCCTTCCCTGTATAAGGGGGCAATAACACTGACCTGCCTACGTATGAAGGGTTAATAGCCCCCCCTCCCGGGGGGGGGCAGGAGATGACAAAAATTAGGGTGTGGAGAAATAAAAAGGGGAAGGGGGGGGGAATTCAAAGGCTTCCACTTAGTCCTCACTGCCCTGGAGGCGGATGGATCCCAGCCTAGTCGAACCTGCCGCACCCCACAACCAGCACGAGAGGCGCCAGCCATCAAGACGAGGAGGGAAGGATGCTCAACTCACTGTCGGATGCAGTCGGGGATGTGCACTTGCTCAAGAGGAATCTGTTGCGACAGCTCCCACAGGCTGTCCACGAACTGCACTTTCCTGCCAAACTTGGAGCTGGGAGAGGAGGCAGAAGGGGGGGATAGGTTATTCAGATCACATGAACAGTTGTTTTCCCATCAGGGCGTCTTGCAGGGCACCAGGATGACAGCCCTCTAGTCTGGCCTGTTCTACCCAGGTTCCTAGCCCGCCCCCAGCACCGAGGCACCTTCCACGAACGTGTTAAGCAACGTGACTTACATCTAACTAGTGACCCACCCATGCACAGTGCCTGTCCAGTGTCCTGTCTCCAGCTGTGGCCAATCTCTGCTGTGGCAGAAAAAAAAAAATCACTGTTCCCTCTAAGTTGTGCGTGTGCACACAGATCCTAAACCCCGTGCACACGGCAAAACAACGCGTGCACAAAAATTTGCACAGAAGAAATTTTTTGCGCACATGGCCTGTCAAAAATTAGAGGGAACATTGCCCAGAATGCATCTGGCCAGAATGACCCCTGCAGGCCATCAGCTCAAGCCCTGAAACATGAGATTCCCCCTTTGCACAACCCCATGCATGCTGGGGGGAAGCTCCGTGGGTTTGGGGGAAGATACGCTGTAGCTCGTCTATGGAGTCTCCCAGGCCTGTCTGCTGCCACGGCTGATACTTTAGCACCAGTTAGACAGTCCAAGTGCTGAGTCCTATCAGCTGACTGCACACAGGCCAACAAACAGCCAGTTGATCCCAAGCGGGATTGGAACCAGCAATCTGTGGGCAAAAGGCACTCTGGTGTGGCGCAAATGGGTGTAAGCTCATGGAACTATGCCAGTTTACACCAGGCAAGAATCTGGCCCACTTATCTCATCCCCAAGCCTTCGTGAGCCAGGCCGGCACTTTTATGTGTCGCATTCAACGTTTCACACACTACAAGGGAAGGGTCTCCATGCGGTGCGTTACGGCTAGGCGTTCGGAGGAAATGTTAAATACCCCCTCGCAGCACTGCTCCCATCACAGACTCAGTAAAGCTTTCAGGGCGAGAGAGAGTGAGGAGACTGCAGCAAAAGCCTGCAAAGACCTTTGAGAAGGGCATTCGGATCCGTGAATTAATCAAGCCTTTGAAAGCCGGACACCCCAGCTTGACCGAAAATGCTCTGTGCGGGAAGGCACATGGGTTTTTGTATTTTCTTCACGCTTGACGCAAACAGCGCACGCTCACACACAAACAGGTTTTGGTCAGGACTCTCACGCACACAGATAGGTTAAGGTCAGGACTTTTGAAACTGACTAGTAATTTGAGGTGTCTGTCTCTGGGGACCCCACTTGACACACCTGAAAGGGGCCTGATTTTCAGAGGGTTGGGGCAGCGTTGCCAACTCCAAGCATTCCAGAGTCACATGTCAAATAAATCAAGAGATTGTGGGTTTTTTTAAAAAAAATCTCATGATTTTTAAGCCAAACAAGTTCCCTTTTATTTGTTGTCTGGTCTTCGAGCCTTTATTATGCACTGGGTCACATGCCAAGCTTTCCTCTACAGCCACGAGGGCAAGAAACGCCTTTCTTTTTTTCAACGAAAGCCAAGATTTTTCCCGTCATCACCTAACTCTGGGAGCTGGGGCTTTAAGACAAACATCAAACATGGAGAGAGTTGGCATGTGCTTGGTGCATTCTGAAAAAACACAGGCTCCTTTCAGATGCCTCACATTGGGCCCCTGAATCATGAAATCATTGACTTGAATTCTGCAGCTAGCATGTATCCATCCCCCGCAGCTGTATGGCAGGGGGCCTGTATCTGACTCCCAGTTGTTAGTCCTGCACTCTCAGCCACACCCCATCCTGCTGCTGTTCTGGAGGGACTGTAATACGAACTGGTACCTGTAATGTACAACACTGCCCTCTGCTGAACAGCATGTGTCAGGCTGGCTTGTGTTTGGCACCCCACTTTGCTCGATGGGCCAGTCTGGTTTAAGGGCTTAACCCTTCCCCAGACTGCAGAGCTGCTTCCTGAGTTTCTTGGGTAGTGGGGAGAGGGAACCACTATGACAAGGCTGCAGCTGGCAGGCGAAATCCAGGTCTTTACACGGTGCCCGTTGTCACGGTATCTGGGCACCTAGGGAATGCTGGTGAAGGGCATCCAAGAAATCCTGGGCTAGAATCTTGCTCCATGCTGCCCTGCCCCATGCACCCATGTAGCTAACAGCACCCCTCTCTGGGCTGCAGAGCCCTGGCCTGCATTGCTAGCCGCCGCGAGGAGGCCCAGGCTCGGGGAGGAAATATTGCTGAAGGCGTAAAAAGCTCTTCGCATGGAACAGTCTGTGGGGGAGGCGGGCTCGAGCCTCTCCAGCCAGCGAGGGGTTAACGCGCTCAGGTACTGCAGAGCAAGGGGACGCACCAGACACTGGCTATTCCTGGCGCCCCCTTAGGGTAGCAGTTGGCCTTGCAGACGCTGGAGCCTGGTGAGGCTCATGGATGGTCTGACGCTAACAACATGCAGCCCACCGGGCCCATGAGCAGTCTGGGCACCATCTCCAGGGGTGTTCTGATACTGCAGGCTGGGTGGCCGCCAACCTGCTCGCACACATGTAGACGCACACACACCCCTCTGTTGGTAGCCTCCCACAGGCCAAGTAAAGAGTCCAGCCCACACTACCTGAGGAAGGGGCGGATAACGGTCATCAGCGCCTTGACGTACCAGGTGGGATGGACAATAATCATGGCCTTCAGGTTCTTACGGAGCCTGAAACAATGCAAAGAACACAGGACACGAGGTATCGATTAGCCGGTGGAACTCACTGACACAAGATATCCCTGAAGCCAAGAGTTCAGCAGGATTGAAAATAGGGCCCGACGTTGATCTGGCCAACAAGACTCCCTTGTTACAGTCATCAGTGCTGAGGCCGGCATTGAAGGAGGCTAATGGGAGTCAAGGAATCCCGCTAGGGTTCAACTGGAGCTGCATGCCTTTGAAAATCCTAGCTTTAAAAAAAGCGGGGCTTGGAAGGGCTATAAACCATCCTGATTCGAGGCATGAGCCAACATCTAACCATCAGGAGCCAGTAGGAGGTTTCTGGATGGGCCCCAGGTCCAAGGCAGGGCCTCTGAAGTCCAGGAGCTCTTTCTTTTAGAGGTAGCTAAGGGCTTGTCTACGTGGGGAAACTGACCAGGGTAACTCCGCATATGGACACTCCATTCTGGAATAAAAAATCACTTTATTCCAGATTAAATCCTCTGCTTACAAAGCCCAGAGGCTGGGAGCCCAGAGGCTGGGAGCTGGGGTGCCAGAGACAGCCATAGGGTCTGCTTCTGTCCAGCAGCCTCGTGAGAGAACCCTCCCTTTATACTCACCACAGCCCAGCGCAGTCCCTTCTCCCAGCCCCTCCGAGGGAGGCTGCAGTTTCCATCCTCACCCAGGCTGGGATTTTTTTTATGGCCCAGTCTGTATCACAGTGTCAGCCTCACTGGCCTTCGTGCCGTGCAAGCCAGGTAGGAAGCAGCTGTTTCCCTGTTGCCAGTGACTCAGGGGTACAGATTCTGGCTGGGATCGGGGGTGTGTGTGGGGGAAAGGAGTTGAAATTGCAGCCAGCCAGAGCCACCGCTGAACTGAACAGGGAACCCACCCAGTCTCGAGTCTTCCATATGGGCAACAAAGCAGCTCTGGATGGGGAGTGGAGTCTGTGAGTTAATGCAGATGACTCAGTGTGAAAACTCCTGGGTTCTATTCCCGGCTCCGGGAGCGAAGGTATTTAGGACTCCTGGGGTCTGGACTCCTGAGTTCTATTCCCCACCCTGGGGGGGGGGGGGGCATCTAGTGATGAGAGCAGGGTGGTTGGGAATTAGGACTCGTGTGTTCTGTTCCCAGCTCTTCAGCAAGTTCCTGATGTAGTCCTGGCTCACCAGCAGCTAGAGTAAGGGGGGAACGGAAGAGGGATGGGGCTAACAGTGAAGGGGTGCCTTCCCTTTTGTGGGCTGGGGAAGCAGCGTTCCCCCTGGAGTTCGGTCCCCTGCTGCGTCTTACCGCCGGTCAATGGTCCGGTAGCATTGCTTTATCCAGCCGAAGGACGGGATCTGGCTGCGGAGCGTGGCACCATTTAGACACACCAGTATGTAGCTTTCTGCCACCATCACCTCCAGGGTCCCAATGATGTACCTGCCAGGAGAGCAGAAAGGAGGTCCAGCGTTGCAGCCTGGAACCAGCCCTCCTCTAGGCACAAAGCGCTTCCATGCTACAGTCGTGGATTGAGCTTCACATCACACCCACGCCCCCCAACAGTGAGGTAAATTTTCTTATCCCCCACCCCTATTTCACAGATGGGGAAACAGAGGCACAGAGCAGGGCTGTGACTAGCCCAAGGTTACACAATGAGTCGGGAATAGAACACAGGAGTCCTGACCCCCTGTTGCTTGCGCTAACCAATAGGCCACATTCCCCACCCAGAGCTGGGCAGAGAACCCAGGAGTCCTGATGCCCAGTCACCAGCACTAACTACTAGCCCATATTCTATATTAGGCATTCACAAAGTGCCCATTGCTGTAGCATTTAACCCTTCCTGTGCCAGCAGCTTCCCAGTCCTGACTAGTGCACTGACGGTCCTCATTTATGGTCTGGGAACGGAAGAGACTGAGTGAGTTCAGAAGGGGAACAGCCCGTGTTCCCGTTGGCAGCGCTGCAGGCAGCCAGGCAGGGCTGGGGAGGAGACTGTTATAAGAGAGAGGCTTATTTTAAAACAGGGTTTTGGCACTTTAAGGGTCAATTTACCAGGACAGTAAAGGGCCAGAGAAACAGCTGTGATGGCATCCCAATACCTCCTGATGTTTATGGGGAGATTCCAGGAATCCCGGGGCAAAGGAGGGCTGCCCCCTACCTCCCCAATGGACTTCAAGGCTATTCAGGGGTTTATCCATTCCTGCTGCTCTCACCAGTAGGGTCCCGATTTCCAGGTATTCGGTCCCTGACCTCAGGGTTAGGGTGGTTTTATGCCACCTTTGGGCTCCCCCATATTCTGGTGCCATGGAGTAAATTACAGGAGCCGCGGGAATCCTACCTGCAGCAGGGAATAGCCAGAGCGCACTGCACTGCGGCCACAGGCCCAATCTGCCCGCTATGCCAGGGCAGGGTACAGGGCCCCTACACCAGGTCCACAGAAGGGGGCTGTTTCAGGGGGCTGTTTGCACCCACTTTAAGGCTCCTTTATGCTGCCAGGGCAGACCGAATATAATGAGCATCTGATGCTGGCTCCCCTGCCCCTCTGTGCTGCGCTGCGTCCCAGAGGAATTGAGTCTGAGGTGGGGGGAAGCCGAGCCCAGCCTGGGAACGTACCCCATGCAGATGGCTTAAAGAGGCAACATCCCTTCTGCCCCTCCAGTGACCACAGCTTTACGTCGGAGTCACTTTCCAGAAGGGGGGCCAGAGCCATCCCCAGCCCACCGCCCATTCCCCGTCCCAGGCTGTTACCCCTGCAGCTCGTTCACTAGCCAGCAGGGGGCAGCATGCTCACCTGAACAGGTGCTCCATCACGTACGGATAGTCAGGGATGCTGCTGTGGGGCAGGTAGCAGGAGGCAAAGAGGATGATGGCATTGAGGCCTTCCCCGTAGTACCCTGGAGCGGCAGAGCAGAGCGAGTGGGTCCAGCTGGAACAGGCACCTAGCCCCGCCACCTTACACCTCGGCACACCTGTCCTCCCCCACAGGGAAGCTCTGGGACTGGCCCAGACCAGGTCAGTTTGGCAGCTTTGCTTGGCCCCTGACCCACACAGACGGGGCTGCCATTGTGAACAGCGTCCCATGGTCCTCTGGGCACGCAGGCTGTGTGGAACTGGGTTTACTACAGCAGGCTTAGACGCCGGGGTCCCGTAGGGCTGGGGTCGTGGATTTCTTGGGGCAGGAGCTTCCTCCGATTGGCTGTGCTTGCTATGCCCTGTAAAGTGCCTGGGGTACTGACGGGCACCATGTAAATCATAACTCTGGGACCCCACTCCCAGGAGAACGCAGGAGTCCTGAATCCCAGCCCCCTTGCACCAAGTTTCCCTCCCAGAGCCGGGAATAGAACCCAGGAGTCCTGCTGCCTCCCATTCTAAGCACCAGACCCCAGGGCTATGAGCTCTCCCGTTACCTCCATGGGAGATGACCCTCTTGTAGGGCTCGACGATGCTCAGATCCACTTTCTGCTCCTGCTCGTCCGTCAGGAAAATCCTCCACTTCCGTCCGTCCTTGTCCTCAACGTCCACCATGCGCCCCTCACTGAGTTTCTCCTCAAGCAGGCTGCTGTCCAGGCGCCGGGCCCTGGGCAGTTCATCTGTGGAGAGAAGGGACAAGGGCGGGGCGGGTGTATTAGGAAAGGCTCCTGGGCTCTTTTCTGAACTTTTACCAGTAACCAGAAAGCACCTGGGCCCTGCCTTGTGTTCTGCAATGTACGGCCCCCTTGGGGCACTAGGGTGCCCATGAGATGGGTATCAATGGGTGTGAGGAAATGAGGCCAAGGAAAGGAGAATCACCCCCCCGAAAGTGACCCCAGTCCCCTCCCAAACCTTCCCCCCAAACCCAGCTCCCTTGGAACCTTCCAGCCAAACATCCACCCTTGACCCCCCCAAGCCCTCACCACAACCAACCACCCCTGACCCCCCAACCCCTCACCCCAACCAACCCCTCGACCCCTCATCCCAACCAACCAACCCCTTGCCACAACCAACCCTCGACCTCCCAACCCTTCAACCCCCCACCACTACCAACCCCTCACCCCCCCACCATCCCCCAACTCCAACAACCAACCAACCTCTCGACCCCCCCAACCCCTCACTCACCAACCAATCCCTCACCACTCCACCCCAACCCCCTACCCAATACTCCTCATCAAAGCTCCAACCAAACCCCACACCTTCCTTTAACCCCACCCCTCAGGCCCCCCTCCCTTCACCCCAACCTCTAACCAAATTCAAAGTGACATTGCACTCCATATGGAAATATGCTTATGACAGTGAATATGATGTAACTGGAATATGCTTTATGCAAAAGGTCTCTTATAAGGTATCATAACAAAGGTTATAACCTACTGAATATATTCCTCCTATTTGTATGCATGTGTCATTCTTGTATCTGAAGCTAGAAATATGAAGTATAACTCTGAGGTCCTACTGTAATTATGCAAAGTGTGGGCCATTAATGGTGGTTTAGAATCTTGATGGCTCCCATTAACTAGGACAATTGGTTGTAAATGGCTCTGTTTAGTTGCAAACCTTCCTGTGTACCTGTGTGGGAAATGAAGAATGAGGTCTCACAGGACATGTGACCAGGTCACATTATATTGGAATCCATCTTAAAACTGGTACTTTTCCAGTTAGAAGGAGGGGTGGGGACCCAGAGAGGCAAACGATTCCCGCCTTGTGCCAAAGCTATAAAAGGGGGAGGCAAGTCATGAGAAAACCCCTAGTTTCCACCTAAGATGTTTGCTGGAATTAACAAGGACTGTTCCGGGGAAAGGATTGGGCCCAGATCAGGAAGGAGCCTAGTCTGTGAAAGAAGCTTATTGGAACATCTCTGAGGGTGGGATTTACCTGTACTCAGTTTCTTAATGTATTAGGCTTAGACTTGCATGTTTTTACTTTATATTGCTTGGTAACTTTTCTTTGTTCTGTCTGTTATTACTTGAAACCACTTAAATCCTACTTTTTATACTTAATAAAATCATTTTTGTTTATTAATAAACCCAGAGGAAGTGATTAATACATGGGGGAGAAAACAGTTGTGCATCTCTCTCTATCAGTGCTATAGAGGGCAGACAGTTTATGAATTTACCCTGGATAAGCTTTATACAGAGTAAAACGTATTTATTTGGGGTTTGGATCCCACGGGGAGCTGGGTGTCTGGGTGCTGGAGGCAGGTAACCTGCTAATCTGTTTTCACTTAAAGCCTGCAGTTCTTGGGGGCGTGGTCCAGACCCTGGGTCTGGGTTGCAGCAGGCTAGTGTGTCTGGCTCAACAAGGCAGGGTTCTGGAGTCCCAAGCTGGCAGGGAAAATGGACTCAGAGGTAGGTTCAGCACATCAGGTGATAGTCCCAAGGGGGTCCCTGTGACCGAACCCATCACACTCAACTTCCCTGGAACCGCCCTTCCAAATCTCCAGCCAGTCCCAGCCCCACACCAAGCCTGCCCCCCATTTTCACTCGCCCTTCCTGACCCACCACTTCAACTCCCCCTGCCGATCCCAACCCACCACCTCAGCTTTGTCTATGCCCCCCGCCATTACGAGCCCCAGCCAGGCCTGCTTCCCACCCACCCCCACATCTCAACCAGACCTGCCCCCCACTCAACCCTCCCCTGCCCTGATGCTCAGCCCAGCCCAACCCAGCCACGGGCGCATCCTCTCTCCAGCCCCACCTTCCCAGTCGAAGTCATGGCCGCCCTCAGGCCCATCCAGCAGCTCACTCTCGGACGGCGTCTCCAGCTCGTCCACGTTGATGTCCAGGCTGCCGTCCGGCGTGCGGTCCGGGTAGTCGCCCGACAGCACCGAGCCCTCGGCCCGGTCCAAAGACAGGCTGAGATCTGGCGCCGGCAGCCGCTTCTTCATATGCCGCTTCCCACAAAGCTCCAGGGTGTTGGGGGCGACTGGGGGTGGGGGGGTGGAAGGATCAAGGCAAACAAGAGCAAGAGAGAAAGGATGTGAAACAGAAAATAGGGAGGGGAGGGAAGGAAAACGTATGGTCCAGAAAACACCGCTGCTTATGCACCGATAGCTGGATTGGGGCCGAGTGGACAAAACCTTCCCACCCAGGTCAGCTGTGCCCCGGGGGTGTTTGTGGGACTGGAGATCCGGGGGGACGCAGCCCTTGCCCTTCAGCACCCCCAGCGTGCTCACACCCAGAGCCTTCCCGGCTGGTGTTCTTGGGGTCTTGCCCTCCTACCTTCACCCGCCCCCCTCCGGGCATGGCCTTACCTGGGCTGGGCTCCCCGCCGGAGTCTTCAAGGTCCTCCTCAGAGACCTCCTCCGGGAGAGGCCTGCAAGACAGGGGAGGATGAGACACTCACGGGGTCGGGGCAGGGACGGCTAGTGTTTCTCAATGACCGGTCCGTGGACTGGCGCCGGTCCCTGAGATCTCCCTGACGCAAGCCGGTCCCTGGTATCAAAAAGGTTGAGAAACGCTGGGCTAGAGCATCTCTCCCAGCTCTGAACTGCTATGTTCCGGTGGGAGAGGGGGCTAGGAGTCCTGGGTTCTATCCCCATCTCTGGGAAGGGAGTGTGATCTAATGGTTAGAAGAGGGGGGTGGGGAGTCAGGGCTCACGGGTTCCATTCCTGGCTCTGGGAGGGGAGGCGAGTGGCTAGAGCCAGGGTGGGGATTGTGCCCTCGAGTGAATGTTATGGCATCACATTGTGCCTCAGTTTCCCCATCTGTTAAATGGAAATAATGACACTGGCCTAGCGCCAGAGCTACCTACAGGAGAGTCAGCTGTGGAGCAAGTTTCACATACAGGAGGCTCTGCTGCTGAAACCCTGCCCTGCTGTCCCCGCTATTCCAGTCCTGGGCTGCCCGTGCCCCTCAGGGCCAACTCACAGCCCCCCCACTTGCTAGTCCAGGCCTTGGCTCCTCACACACACAGCTCTGCCGATGGCCCTCTGACCTCTCACCTCTAGGACGAGCCGGACCAGACAGCCGCACAATGTAGTGGGCCAACTGAGACCACCCAACTCATTTCACCTGAGGATTTGAACCCAGGTCCCCCAGAAGGCTTCGTCCTGGCTCTCAAACCCCACCTCCTGTCATTTACAACGCGGTTCCTTTTCTGCCCTCTCCCCTTCCCTCCCTCCTCCCCCACGACACTCCCCGCTGGGTAAACAGCAGAACTGTGCACCGTTCTGCATGTGACCGCTAGCAACAGCTGCCTGTTGGAAGGAGATGGGAATACAACCCCTGCCGCCTGATGGATCCAGTCACAGACACCAATTGTGCTTTGCGTGTGCTCAGAGTGTCTGTGCCGGGTGCTTTCCACTGCGGGGGTTAAATATAGACTTTGCTTCCTCTTTATGGCCAACTGTTTGCTAGTCATTTTGTCCATCAATCCCTATTCTACAGGAGGAGAAACTGAGGCACAGAGCCAGGAAGCAACTCTCCCCGGGTCACTAGCAGAGCTGGGCACAGAAGCCCGGAGTCCTGGTTGCCCGTCCCCCATTCTATCCACTAAATTAGTGCATTCCTTGCCCTGAGTCAGCCACAGAACCCAGAAGTCCTGAGACCGCCAGGCGAGGGGGCTATCTGCTGGTCCACGCTGCCTCTACCAGTCATGTGGCTTCTTGAAAGACACTGGCTGGAAGGGGGCGGTTGACCCCTTCCATATGTCGAACCCCTTGGCTGAGCCCTGAGCTCCCTGGCGCCAGCTGCCTCATCAGACTGACACCCGTTCTGGATTTTCTAGTCCCTCCCCACACCGCAGACTGAACCACTGATCACCAAGGACGCCCCCATCCTACTGACAGTGCAGCTCAAATTCACCATGCTGGCGCCAGCCCTTTGGGGTCCCCCAGGGGCAGTGATGTGAGCGGGGCCGGGGCCGTGTGTGTCACCTCCCATTGCCCCCGGGATGGGGCGACAGGAGATGCGGTGAGGATCCCAGCCAGAACCCCCCCCTCCCGCTGCATCTCTCACCCCGGGAACTCCTCGTCTTGCCACTCCTCCTTCAGCTCCATGTCCTGGATGGATACGGCTCCCTCCCGCTGCTTGGCCACGGCCTGCTTCTCCGGATCCTTCTGGTCGCTACAATGCCAACAGAGGAGAGCGTGGGCTGGAGGAACTGGGTTCGGGCCAGTCTATGATTGGCCAGGAGAACGCATCTAAACAGAGACGACCCCAAGGGCAGTTCTGTCCTCAGCAGGAGGTTTGGCCTGAACCCAGATTGCAGCCTTCCCAGGGCCAGGCCCCCCAGGCTGTGAATGGAGCCCATCCACGGCTCAGACCCAGCCGGGCTCCTAGAAACCAGGAGCTGTTACCACCTCCCACATGGAATGAGTTTGCTGGGGCTCAGCCTTGTGTCCCAGATGTCCCTGCCCCAGCTGGCGCTAACATCAGGGCTCCCTCACTGGCAGCCTGGGCACAGAGCCCCAGGAGGGAAGGGGCTCCTGTCTTACGCCTCGAGGCGGGTCCCCACAGGGCAGGGCTGAGGTATCTGGCCCTGCTGCTGGGAGGCCTTCCCTGGGCTGTGGGTCTTTCCCCAGAGCCCCTGGATGCCCCCACACAGCCTCCTGCCCAGAGGGACCAGTACCAAACCCAGCACCGCCAGGACCACAGGGCAGCTGCTCCCTGCTTTGACCCTGCTGCGGGTGGGCGGGGCATGCCCATCCCTCAGCGAGGGCACCCTCTGCCACCGCTCGGCTCCCCTCCAGGCTTGGTCTGGCATGGCCCAATATGGACCCCAGACGGCATTCTTGGTGCCAGACCAAAGGGGGGTCCCCCCGTTCTTCCAGCTCCTCTGGAGCAGGGACCTCACTGCAAGAGAGAAGATTGTCCCGCGGCCACCTCCCCCAGCCTGGGCACCCAGGCCCCATCCCCCCACCTGGGCACCCAGGCCCCACCTCCCTGCCCCAAGCCTGTCACCTGACCCCCACCTCCTGCCACCTGGGCCCTGCCTCCCCACCGGACTCACACCTCACCTCCCCCCTTCCCATACCCCCTTCCCATACCCCCTTCCCCCCCCGTCACCCATGTCTCCATCTCCTCCTCTTTTTCCCTCTAACACCCACCCCCACCCAACCCCATTGCCGGACCCCCCCCACCTTCTGTCACTCAGGTCCTGCCTCCACATCCATCGTCCATGACCCAGCCCCTCCTGATTCCCCTCCTATTCCCCATCACCTAAGATCCCCGCCACCCCGTTGCTACCATGGCAAGGTGGGAACGGGATGGCAGAGTGCCCGCGCAGAGAGCTCAGCTCTGCTCTTCCCCAGCCTACGGCGCCCAGGAGATGGACTCAAGCCCCGAGACTGGAACCCGGGTTCACATTCGGATCCCACCCCCCTGAACCCCAGAGGGTGCTGAGTTCTCCTGGATGCAAGAGCGCTGAGCCTGCGGCATGGCCACCATCCCCCTCCCCCACCCATGCTGTCCCCCAAAGCCCGACTTACACCCCCACTGCAGCTGCGGAGGAACCAAGACGCCAGCAGGAGGCAGCCACTCAACCACCCTTTCCATGACAGCCTGGCTGGCAGAGTCCATGCTGTGCCTGGCCCACGTCCCCTTGCCCCGAGCCTGCCCCAAGGCGGAAGCCCTGTGTTGAAACATACAGGGTGATCACAGCTCCACCTGTTTGAGCGTCCATCTCCAGCTAGCGCCAGGCTAAAATCACCTCCGCTGGCGTGTAGGGGATCCCGTAACTGCCCCCCCGGCCTCTTGAGGCAGTTGGCAATTACCTCTCAACACTGCTCAGTTACAAACGCGTCCAGCGGGCCCCACTGCCACTTGGGCCCGTCGCAAAGAAGGAAAACATCGGAGCAGCTGCTTAGAGCCGGCAGCTTTCCCTTTCTTGAGCCAGCGGATATCAGCCCTGTACCTGGCGGCACTCGCTGGCACGCCCAAGAAAATCAACCCAGCGCCACCCTAGCAAGCCCTGTAGTCCAGCGCAGGGCTGGTCCTGTTTACACAAGCCCGGAGAGCCAACGCAGCACCCAGCCACTCTGCGTCTCTAAAGAAACTTAAATCCAGCAAGCAGGGGAAGTTAGAAAACAGGTGTCACTTTGGGCCCACTTTGGGAGCGGGGACTAGGAATCTTTTGTCAACAGTAGGAGACCCCATTAGAAAACAAGGAGCAAAGGTGGATTGGCACGGGCGGGCAGGGGGAGATGAATCCGCTTCTCTTCCTTGCCAAGGGGCTTCTGAATTAACTCACCGCGGCCGGGGGTTTTGAAGGCGTTAGGCGGCCGGTTCCCATCAGCTTTCGGTACCATTTTGGTGCCTGACTCCCCATGGCACCTCTGCAAACGTGCTCCGTGCAGCAGACGGGCTTTAGAGCACCGGTTTGGTAATGACACCCTGCAGCCGGGTCCCCAGTGAGTTTCGAATCCAGGCCCTTCAGAACTAAAGGCACGGACCTGGAGAAACCGCCCCTGGCCTAGCTGCTCTTACGTGGACCATTCGATGCTCGCCACCAGCCGGCCTAGCCAGTAGTAGCAGACGGAGATTGACCCTGCTTGGTTTGCTCTGCAAGATAAATAGGCGGGATCTTTAACAACTCGATGCTGCAGCCGGCCCTGCCTCCTGGGCGCTTCATTGCTAGGCACAGAACGGGTGCTGCGTTCGCCAGCCCAGCTCCCCGCTCGGGGTGACACAAGAAGGCAAACTCTCTCCTCTAAGAGACGCGGGAGAGTGCCTTCGGGCTGGGACGCGCTTCCAGCGGTCTCGCCTCCTCACGCCAGCTAAGTGGGTTCAAGCTAATGGTAGTGCAGCGAGGGGGCATTGCCAGCCGGCAGCGTGGTCTAACAGATAGAGCAGGGGCGGGCAAACTTCTTGCCCGAGGGCCACATCGGGTTTCTGAAATTGTATGGAGGGCCGATCAGGGGAAGCTGTGCATCCCCAAACAGCCTGGCATAGCTCAGCCCCCGCCCCTCATGCCCCCACCCCCCACTTCTTGCCCCCTGATGGCCCCCCCCTGCAGGACTCCTGCCCCATCCAACCCCCACCCCGTCCCGACAGCCCCCCCGGGACTCCTGCCCCATCCACCACCACCAGCCCTACTCCCTGTCCCCTGACCGGCCCTGGACTCCCTGCCCCTCTGCCGCCCCATCCAACCCCTCCTCTCATTCCTGACTGCCCCCCCGCAGAACCCCTGCCCCATCCAACCACCCCTTCTCCCTGACTGCCCCCCCCAGGACCCCTGCCCCCCCACCCCATCCAACCCCCCTCTCCTTCCTCACTGCCCCCCTGGGATCCCTGCCCCATCCAACCACCCCTTCTCCCTGTCCCCTGACCACCACCGGAACCCCTACTCCTGACTGCCCCCGACTGCCCCCCGCCGCCCCATCCAACCCCCCACCTCCTTCCTGACTGCTCCCGCTGAACCTCTGCCCCATCCAACCACCCCTTCTCCCTGACCGACCCCGGAACCCCTTCCCCTGACCGCCCCCCACTGCCCCATCCAACCCCGCCCTCAGACCCTTGCCCCATCCAACCCCCCTGACCCCCACCCCTATCTCCCCTGCCCCCTGTCCAACGCCCCCTTACCGCGCTGCCCGGAGCACTGGTGGCTGGCAGCGCTACGGCCGCGCCACCCAGAGCACCAGGACAGGCAGCCGCGCCGCCCGGCTGGAGCCAGCCACGCACCGCACCGCACAGAGCACCGGGTCAGGCCGTGGCTCTGCAGCTGCGCTGCCCGGCCAGAGCTCGCCGCCCAGAGCATTGTGCCAGCAGCACAGAGAGCTGAGGCTGCAGGGGAGGGGGAACAGCAGGGGAGGGGCTGGGGGCGAGCCTCCCGGGCCAGGAGCTCAGGGGCCGGGCAGGAGGGTCCTGCGGGCCGGATGTGGCCGGCAGGCCGTGGTTTGCCCACCTCTGAGACAGAGCATGGGATTGATTTTCTGTCCAATGCAGTATGTTCAGATGCAGTGAGGCAGGAGGTCTGGGTTCTAATCCCAGCTCTGATCTGTTGTGTGACTTTGGGCAAACCATTTCCCTCTCCTCTTTTGTCCCTCCTGTGTATTCAGGCTGTAAGCTCTTTGGTGCAGGGGCTGTGTCTGGGCAGCGCCCAGCACAACGGGGCCCTAGCCGAGGCGTTACGGTCATATAGAAAACAATCAAGCATCGACAACTCTTGCGATTCTTCTTCAAGCTAAAAGTACATTTCTAGCCTCGTGGCTGCAGAAAAAAAAACTTGAGAACAGGACCCGAGCGCAACCCTAAAGGCTCAGAAGCCAAACAGCAAAGAAAAAAGAACTCAAGATTCATTTTTTAATAGAATCTCATGGTTTTTTTAGGGCCTGACTCCGTATGTTTGAACAGCTGGGGCTGGTGATGCTCCAATCACCCTCAGAGGGGCCTGCCGTACAACTTCTTTGCAGGCAGAAGGAGGAAAGGGAGGGGGATTCTCTTTGAGCATCAGTGGGAGCAGCTTTGTTGAGGTCGGTAGAGCTAATACGTCGCTCAAGCGCTGGTTGAAAATTTTCCGACCGTTTCCGATCGGAAAATCCTGACTGAACAAAATCAAAATGGCTCCTGAGAATGTATCCGTGGAAAATGATCCAAATGTTTCCTTTCAATAAGGTCAAAGCACTTTGTTTTCACTCGATCATTCTGACGTTTATGTTATTTTATATCCTATTGATGATATTGTATCTTCTTCTGTCTTGCCACTTCTCTATTCCGGACCGGCGACTTTTATAGCCGTCTTCCAAAGCTCAAGATTGTACGGTGATTGGCTGCGATGCAAATTAATTCCACCATTAATACAAAAGTCAAAATGCAGCATTCGGAATTTCAACTCTTCCTGTCAATTTGCGATGGAAGAAAATTTTGAAAGGAATTTCCTGCAGAACGGAAATTGAAAGTTTACCAGATTTTCATCCACACTCTGCCTGGGTCACAGGCTGACCATGCGTTGTGTGAAGAACTTCCTTACGTTTGTTGGAAACCTGCCACCTATTCATTTCGTTGGGCCCCCCCCCAGCTTCCTGGGTTCTATCCCGGTCCTGCGGGCGCCCAGATCATCCCACAGGTGACTCCCTGGACTACCCTTAACATTCGGTTCTACATAGCTACAGGGCGGAGGGGGGTGA